TTCCAATGATTCCTGTGGGTAATTCTGCATGTTCTTTGAAATCTTTTTGTCGCCACAGGTTTCTTTGTCTTCTAAATTTTGTTGGATAAAATATGTATTTTGGTGAATCAACTGATATATCTTTTCTAAATATAAATATAAGTTTTTGTTATATATTAAAATATGATTGGTATTTTTAAGTATGCGTTAATGATTTTGCATGCATCTCAGTTGCTAACTTTTGTTCGTTCCATTACTTGACAGATTTTTTTGTACTGAAATACATTACGATGTTTGGGATCATGTCCGCTATGTGAGCTATCATCATGTCCACTATGTGAGCTATCTTCTGAATTAGTAGCTTTGTCATATTCCTCATTATCATCGCAACAACTCCTTTCTTTATCACTCTCCCAGGAAAGAATTATTGTTAATGACAAAGCTTGGCATGTTTCTGCATTCTTTTCCAAACTAAATTTCCCGTTTTTTACGAATTTCCTATTTTTGGAGTCGTTCTGTTTCTTCTTAGTCAATCTGGCCAATCTACATTTACTCTTTTGATTGAGCCAAAGCTCCTATTCCTTAAAAGGAGCTTTGGTGATGCCACAATTAACAAACTGGCAAGGAAAAATGTCAAATCCTTTTTTGAACGAATCAAATTGGCATTGAAGCGTAGATGAGTTTCTTTTTTCACCAACATATTTCCTTAATCGTTTTGTATCAGTAACCAATTTATCCAAGCTTTTCAGAATGCTATTATAATATCATTGGCAACCCCACCCTTGACCATATGTTTGCCAAATCATCAGCTACTATCTTATTTACATCTCTGATTGACGGTTCTTCAGAGTCTAAAGATTGTGAAATAAATTTAAAAAAGCCTTACTCTCTTGTGAACGTAAATATAAAGTGCCAACAAATCAATACAAACATTCAAGCAACTCTACAACGTGTTAAACTTTAACATTAACAATCAAAACATTTAAAGTATGCATATTTCAATATTAATATTGCAATATGCATTCAGAACTCTTGCAATATTGTGAGTGTTGCATTATTGCCAGGGTCATCCTAAAGAGGTCTCTCATGAAGGTTGGGGGTGTCGTATGTATTTTTTGCCAGCTAGTGACACCAAAAAAAAAAAAAAAAAAAATAGTGCCGCAATATTTCAAATTCGCCAACTCTAGTTCAAAACTTGCCAACTCAAATGCTAAATGTGCCAACTCAAATGCTTATATGACAGCTTTGGGGAGGGTGGGACGCCTCCTACACCGCTGTTCGGGACAGCCCTGATTATCGCGTTTATATATTAAAACAACTATCTGATAGTTATTGATTCTATCGTGTTGATTAAATAAAATCTTATATATATATATATATATATATATATATATATATATATATATATATATATATATATATATATATATATATATATATATATATATATATACACAAAATAAAACTCCCATTACAATTCTTTAACTACATTTTAATGACTATTAATAGTCATTAAAATAACCTTTAAAAGTAATCATAAAAAAATGTGTGAATTTTAACATACTTCTTTACGTGACATCTAACGCGTACAATTATAATTCACCTTAAACGATTATAATTCATCTTAAACAATAGAACAGTAAGTGATAAAATGAGTAAAAAATGAAATTAGAAATAGGCAATATCAAATTAGGTTATAGTTATTTAAATAAAATTTAAAATATTCCATTTAAATTATTGGTGAATTTGAACTACGTAGAAAAGAGCTATTTAAAAAGTTTAAACAAAAGTTGTCCCCCTAAGATGAAGCTCAAATTTTCATTGTTTTCTTTTTATTTTCATATTATAGCAATTTTTTGTAGTATTGACAATAAATTAAAAAAATATGACCCACCCTAATATATTTATATATATATATATATATATATATATATATATATATATATATATATATATATATATATATATATATATATATATATACACACACACACACACAAACACACACACACACACACATATATATATATATGTATATATATATATATATATATATATATATATATATATATATATATATATATATATATATATATATATATATATATATATATATATACATATACACACAAGGGTGGTTCTAAAAAACAAATTTTTTTGAAAATGACTGCTGGCACCCCCTGAATATGTTGTATATAATAAAAAAATGCTAGATTTAAAAAATTTTTGAATAAAAAATATTTTAAGGGGTTGCTACCAACCCTCAAACATTAAATAAGTCCCTAATATTATTTTAAAAAAAGTTTTTCAAAAGTATGTCATGTTGGGTCTCAAACGAAGCAAAATTGTATAAAAATTTCAAAAGTATTAATAATTTTATAATTAAATTTCTATTATAGATTTTTGTGAACAGAAAATTACCTTTTTTTAACTAAAAATGAAAAATAAAGACTAAAGCAAGATTTTTTAATCATAATTTTTTTAATCAATGTTTTTTTTTTAAAAATGAATATTATTTTTCAAATTTTTAAATAATTTTGCTTCAATTGATACCCAACATGACATACTTTTGAAAAACTTTTTTTTAAATAATATTAGGGACTTATTTAATGTTTGAGGGTTGGTAGCAACCCCTTAAAATATTTTTTATTTAAAAATTTTTTAAATCCAGCATTTTTTTATTATATACAACATATTCAGGGGGTGCCAGCAGTCATTTTCAAAAAAAGTTGTTTTTTAGAAACATCCTAATACACACACACACACACACACACACACACACACACACACCACACACACACACACACACACCACACACACACACACACACACACACACACACACACATATATATATGTGTGCGTGTATATATATATATATATATATATATATATATATATATATATATATATATATATATATATATATATATATGTATATATATATATATTATATATATATATATATATATATATATATATATATATATATATATATATTTATATATATATATATATATATATATATATATATATATATATATATATATATATATATATATATATATTATATATATATATATATATATATTTGATTAAATTTAAGTTTAAAAAAACATCGCCGGTATCAGCGCTTTTGTTTTAGAAAACAAAACAAAAATTAATTTCAAAAAATAGTTGTCTCAGTACCTGGCATATTTACTAAATAGCAAAAAAATTGTGAACCATTTTGTTACAGTTCATAACTAATGCTGCCTAATATTTGCTTATTTGATAATTTAGAAAAACCTGATCTAATAACGCAATGTTTGTGTTATAAAAATAGTTTATTTTTCCTTCAACGCAAGGCATTTAGGGATTGATATTCGGACAAACATTGCACAGAAACAAAAGAATTTCTTAAAAACGATAGTGATGGAATATTTGGACAAACAATTTGACGTCACCAAAACGGTATGCTGATTAAATGATATAACATTTTGGACTTACCTTATAAATAATGCTAATTTTTTATGAAGAAGTTAACTTCTGAATCAACAAACTTGGAGAAAAGTTAAAAGAGCAATCTGAATCAGTATTTTTTTTTCTTCAGAAAACGATTTTTCTAGAAAAGTCTCTTTTTAAAGTATGTTAATAGAAAGGAATCATCAACAAGCATTAAAAAAATCTTGTCACCGCTCTCAAAATCAAACAATTCAATTTTTTTTACTTTCCTGTTATACAAAATAATTGTTTAGTGCTAATAGCAGATGTTTTTGCTGAACTTCCTCTGCCAAAACAATGCAGCATGAGGTTCTGGAATGATATTTAAGTTTTGTTTTTCTGCATTTAAGCTTGGTGAATGTTATGAACTTTATTTTTTCAATTTGATTATAAAGAAAATTTTTATTGAAATAAAGAAACGAAACTTTAAGGAACATTTCTTGTTTTTTTTAATTACATTTTCTAAACTGTCCCAACAATAATCCAAATTTTTTTTTTAAGCAAAGTTGTGGCATCTTTTTGAAAAAGTGTCTGATTGTGTCACCCTCTCCTTTACAATAGTTTAATTTGCTGCTTTTAAACAAGATTTAATTGCTTTCTATTTATTTAAAGCGCTAAACTCAAAAGTTTTATAAATATTTGAAAATTGAAAAGTTTTATAAATATCTGTTGCTAAATTTTTTTTTACTTTTTAGCAAATTAACTAATTTAACAAAATAACTTTTTGAAAACTAAATTTTTTTATTTGTTTTCTATTGATTTTAAATTAAAATGTTTTTTGTGTTACAATTAATAGAATTTTTGATTTTAAACTTAAGAAATTATAAAGTTGTTTATAAGAAAAATTTACTTTTAATGCTTGATGTTTTGAAGTTTAACATCTTCAAACATTGCAATATTTTTTTAAAAATTGAATAACTAATGATGTATTTCATTTATGTTACAATCAAGGCTGCAAGATATTGGTGCTCTAATATTAAAGGATATACTTTATATAATAAAAACTGGTCATTACTACATGCATTTTAGCATGATGTTGCACCTTTAAACACTGCTGAGTGTGTCTGAAAGACTGAATTACACAGCAGGGTATACAGATTATTGATCCCTGGCCTAGCAGTTTCCCTGATAATAATCCTAATGAGAAAGTTGTTGGGCTACTTTAATATCCATGAGAAAATTGAAGTTGTGTGAAGCCAGCAGATAACTCCTTATTATTGAAAAAAAAATGTTTTATAAATTCTAGCATTCTTTGGTAAATCAAGTCTCAATCTGACCCATTATTGAATGATGGAATTTTGATAATTTATTTATTTTTTGATATTCTTTTTATATTTTAGTTTTTATTGATCTCATTTATATATATTATATTAATTTATTTATATATATTATAAGTTTTAAATTCAGACCTCAAACTAACCATAGATGTTGCATTTAAGTTGTTTCTGTGAATCAATAAAAAATTTTTTGTAACTATTGAGTATCTGAGGAATATATTTTAATCATATAAACATTTTTACAATATTCTCTTATTTAAAGGTAGAAAGCACAAAACTTGCCATGATATTCAACATAAAGTAAAGCGGTCTAGAGTTTATTCACCTTCATGTAACTCATCAGATGAATCCACAATAGAAATTACTTGGGACAACAACTCACCAAGCCCACGACGCCCATTTTCAGGTACCAAAAAGCATTTTAAAAACTGTAAATGAAGTTGTTTTGGAAAGCTGAGATTTTTTTCACAAATATTAAAAAAAAAAAAATATATTAAAAAAAACAAATATTAAAAAAAAAAAAAAATAGTTTTTTTTTATTTTTTTTTTTCTGTTTATTTCTTTTTTTGTTAATTTTTTTTGTAGGAAGACGCAAAAAATCAGACATTACATCAATTATAAAAAGAATCTCTAAAAAGGTAATAAAAAAAATTCAAGTATTTAAATTAAGTCTTAAATTTTGAGAAATTTTTTTAAAATGTCTTTAAAATTATTTAATGCAAATTTATTGAGCAAAGTATTGTATCAAAAAATAAAATAAAACTGATTAGAAAAACTCTGATTCGATTCAAAAAGAAACTGATGAAAGTTTGTTGACTACATGGAAGCTTAGAAACCTACCATTTTCAAATTCCTTGCATGTGTCAAAACCAAAGCGGTAATATTGTTTTCGAAAATTTTAAAAATACTTTAGTGTCAAAACTTGTTTAATTAATTTTTAATCATATTATTTTTATTTAGGTTAACCACACGGAGCTCTATACAAAAAACTGTTGCTACAAAGTTTAACGATGAATTGAAACGTTTTTTGGAAGGAGTTAACACTGTTGGTGTGAATTTCTTTTCTTTATTTGCTAGTTTATTTTTTAAAATTATTATTGTGTAACTCTCAAAATCAAATTAAACAAATAGTTTTTTGAGTTTGAGAAAAAAAGTCTAAGAAAAATTACAGGTACATAGATTTAAAAATGAAATACAGTGGGCAGCGGTTGGTGGTAGCACTAAAAAAAATGCAACTATATCGAGCGCTTACTTTTTGGAATCTATCGACATTGCAGCTCTTGCATAGCATGTCACGAAACCTACTTGGCAATAATACCCTTGACCTGGTGCTAACTGACTTCATCTCCAGAATTATAGAACTCAATATTGGTCCATCTATTGGCATCTCAATCAAAAATAATTTCCATTTGCACTCTTATATGAAGTTTCTTGTTTGAACCATCAATCTCACCAACCAGGGTTTTTGGCGAGTTGAGTAATTTGAAGAAATACAAAGCGATTGACCCATATGGCATAAGTCCTTATGTTCTCAATGAGTGTGCCTCTAGATTAGCTTGGCCTATTTCCCTTGTGATAGTGTCATAATTTGAAACAGGTATAATACCTAATAATTGGAAACAAACAAATGTGATACTAATATATAAAGAAAAAGGTAAACAAAACGACCCATCTGAATATAGACCAATATCTTTAACAGCCATAATATGTAAAATCATGGAAAGATTATTGAAAAAATATATATGATGAGTCACCTAGCTCAGTACAAATTAATTGCTAAGCATCAAGCTGGCTTCGTAAGACAAAAATCATGTGTTACAAATTTATTAGAGACAATAGACATCACATCAGAGGCATTGAACTGTGGCCTTTATATAATCATAATTTATCTGGATTTTGCTAAAGCCTTTGATAAAGTCTGTCATGAAGCTTTAGTAATTCAAATTAGAGGCCTAAGGTTTCAAAGGTAAACTACTGAGGTGGCTAAAAGCATTCCTCATGGACAGAAAACAAAGAGTTTTTGTCAATGAAAACTACTCTGAGTGGATAAAAGTTCAGAGTGGTGTGCCACAAGGATCTGTTCTAGGTCCTTTACTGTTTATAGTGTACATAAATGATATGCCAGATGTTGTCAAATGTTCACTCAAGCTCCTGCTGATGACAGCAAACTAATAAATATAATTAAAAAATAAGTTTGACATTGAACAGCTGCAGACAGATCTTGATGCTGTGGCTAAATGGGTTGATAATTGGAAAATGGAGTTAAATACAAACAAATGCAAAGTTTTGACAATAAAAAAATCATCCAAAACAACAATCTATGATCACAAATTCAAGATAATATAATACAAGCATACAAAATCAAGATAATAGCTGCAAATATTTATTGTTTACCAACCAAGAGCGAGATCTTGGAATTTTAATAACTAGCGATCTAAAATGGTCAGCCCAATCAAAACATGCAACAGTTAAAGCTAATGCAGCACTAGCTTCACTCAAGTGAACGTTTAGATACTGAAACCCTTCAATATTTAAAAATATGTATGTTTAAAAATATGTATGTTTAAAGATATGTATCGTTTAGATACCAGAACCCTATAATGTTTAAAAAAATATGAAGATCAACTAGCCCTACTCAATATCCAATCAGTCAAAGCACGTAGCACACGAGTAGATGCAATTCAGTATTTTAAGGAAAGTACTGGACTTAATAATACATCCTGGATCCACCCACCAAATAAGTCCCGATCTGGCGATTGTCCTGGGCCAGCAGGTGCAGTTAGAAGAAATAAGGAGCAACTGATCAAAAAATCACAAATAACTGTCGTCAAAGAGAACACTTTTTCTTATATAGTGGTTAATGTTTGGAACACACTTCTGGATGCAAAACTACAAAACTACAAATTCATTTAAAAACAGTTATGATGCCTATGTGAAAACAATATGAAACTTTATATACAGTTCAGCTGTCATAGTTGACCATATTCAATTGGTCAGTTCCGCTTTATGCCACAGCTCAATCTTATTATTATTATTATTATTATTATTATTATTATTATTATTATTATTATTATTATTATATATATATATATATATATATATATATATATATATATATATATATATATATATATATATATATATATATAAAACTACAAACTTACGACTTACAACAAAGTTGCGTATTGTATTAAAATGCTTTTGTTCAGGTGTTACATAAGCGTAATCTTGTGATTACCTGTCTCACCCTTTTGTATTTTAATGCATTTTTTTTTAATGCAAATAAATATTATTATTATTATTATTGTATATATATATATATATATATATATATATATATATATATATATATATATATATATATATATATATATATATATATATATATATTATAATAATAATAATAATAATAATAATAATAATAATAATATTTATTTGCATTAAAAAAAAATGCATTAAAATACAAAAGGGTGAGACAGGTAATCACAAGATTGCGCTTATGTAACACCTGAACAAAAGCATTTTAATACAATACGCAACTTTGTTGTAAGTTGTAAGTTTGTAGTTTTTTTTTGAATACGAATAATGAAGATGAATCGACAATGCAAGCAGGCAATGAATTTCATATTTTTACAATTCTTTAACTGAAAAAAAAATTTACGTAAATCGTTAGTGTTCAAGAGAATCGAGTTTTAAAACAGATAGTCTCGATGCGTAATCAGTGTAAGAAATATGGCATCTTTTACAGGTAATTCTGCTGAAGTATCTTTGGACGTTTTCAATGCAACATATATCTTTAAGAAGGTAAGGACTCTACACTGGGGTGCAACATTCTAAGATTGGACGCACATAGACCTTGTAGGCTTTTAAGAAGAGATTTGTATCATTACTGATAAAAGTTTTGAAAAGTAAATATAGACGGGCGTAAGCTTTTTTGGCAGTACGAGAACAGTGTTGGGAAAATTTTGTATCAGAAGATACCGTAATACCAATATCTTCAATACAGTTAACATTCGTTATCGGGATGTCCAGGCAAAACGAATACGAATGAACAGTCAAAGACTTACTTCCAAAACATGTGGAAACATTTTTTTAATGCTATTTTTTATTGCCAGTAAGCTGTCCAATCAGAGAACTTTTTTAATGATATTTTAAGGTCAGCATTGTTATTTTCGTCTCTCAATTGGTACAATTTGCTATCTTCAGCAAACAGCTTTATTCGACAATCACCTTCAATACAAGAAACTACATCATTAATAAGTAATAAGAATAAAGTCGGAGCCAACACAGTTCCTTGGGGTATTCCACTCTTTACAGGTACGTAGTTTGAGTAAGAATTACCAATGCAAACACATTGGGATCGATCAGTTAAAAAGTTAGTAATCCAATTTAGAAGTTCGTACTTAATGCCGTAACAATTCAGTTTGTACACTAACTTAGAATGCGATACACAGTCAAATGTTTTTTTGAAGTCAATATAGATAATATCAACTTCCTTTTTCTTGTTAAAAGCTGAGGTCCATTCATTAAGAGAAGCTAACATCTGTGTACATGTAGATCTACGCTTTAAGAACCCAAATTGGTGAATAGAGATAAAGTTATTAAGTTGAATGTACCTTTTTAAACTATTATCAATAATTGACTCCATAACTTTGCAACTAATACAAGTCATTGAAGTAGGTCTGTAGTTCGTAGATAAGGAGGGGTTACCTTTCTTGAAAATCGGACATACATATGCGGTTTTCCAAATATTCGGAATTACACCAGTTAACATTGACAACTCGAAAAGGAGAGAGAATGGGATGGCAATAATATTAGCAATCGATTTCAGGAATAAGGCAGGATACCCATCTGGTGATTTTGATGACTTAGGTGGAAGTTTTTGAAGAGCTGATAGAACAGAATCATAAGAAAATAGGGCATTATTCAAAGAATTATCGTGGGATGGTAGGTCTAGCACAGGTTTAGTACCGTTGTCAAAGACAAACACTGAAGCAAAAAAATTGTTCAGAAGGCTCGATTTTTCATGGTCATTAGTACAAAGGGAACCATCGGGTCTTACAAGTGGCGCAACAGAATTTAAACAGTTAAATTTTGAATAGACGTAAGAATAAAATTGGGTTAAATTGGAGTTGTCTACTATGTATTTTTCTCGAGCAATACAGTTTTTTGTGATTTCAGCATCGTATAAACGTGAACAATTCTTGTAGTTGATAAGAACAGAAAGATGATGAGGTATAAGAATAGAAAGGTAAGAACAGAAAGGTTATGATATATATATATATATATATATATATATATATATATATATATATATATATATATATATATATATATATATATATATATATATATATATTTATATATATATATATATATATATATATATATATATATATATATATATATATATATATATATATATATATATAAGGACAGAAGAATATTATAAGAACAGAAAGATTATGATATATATATAAATATATATATATATATATATATATATATATATATATATATATATATATATATATATATATAAGGACAGAAGAATATTATAAGAACAGAAAGATTATGATATATATATAAATATATATATATATATATATATATATATATATATATATATATATATATATATATATATATATATATATATATATATATATAAGGACAGAAGAATATTATAAGAACAGAAAGATTATGATATATATATAAATATATATATATATATATATATATATATATATATATATATATATATATATATATATATATATATATATATATATATATATATATATATATATATATATAAGGACAGAAGAATATTATAAGAACAGAAAGATTATGATATATATATATATATATATATATATATATATATTGTTAATTTACCTCCCCAAGGCTGAGAGGGCCACTACAGGCGAGGAGGCTACTTAATTGTGGTTATAACCCTCTCTCAACTCTATAACTCTGAAACATGAACATTGACGAACAAGACCGCTACGCAGAGAAACAAGTTGAGTGCGGTACTACCAGGGACGTGGTGGGGATCAAACTATATATGTATGTATATGTATATATATATATATGTATATATATATATATGTATATATATATATATACATATATATATATGTATATATATATATATATATATATATATATATATATATATATATATATATATATATATATATATATATATATATATATATATATATATATATATATATATATATATATATATATATATATATATATATATATATATATAATAAACAACTTCCTCTCATTGAACAATTGTTTTTTGTTTGCAATTACAATTTTCTGTAATTTTTTTGTTTAGGATTTATTTTTTGTTTAAGAAAGCATTGTGACCTTTTATAATTCTTTCCATATTTTTTGTGCAACTATAGCTAACTTTAATTGTATTTCGATTAAAAATGTTATGTAATTTATCAGAGGTCGGCAAATGCTTATCGAATAATTTTAAAAACACTTAACCTTTGTTGGTGGAAATATTTTTGCTATATGGGGGGGGGGGGGGGGTTGCACCAAATTATATTTCTAGTTCTATTTCGCTTTTTTGTATTCTTTTTTTCAGGGTCAAATTTTAGTTCAAAATTTTCAAAACCACTTTTTTTAAAGGCATCAAATATTTGTTTAGAGGAATTGAATACATTTGCATTTTGATGGTTTTATAATTAATTGGTCCATCCTTAAAACAGCACTTGCATATAACAATATTTCCAAAAAATGCATACTATGCCTACAAGAAAAATTTGAAATTGTTACACATGCAAACCAAGAATGTTTATTAAACAAAAAATCGTAATTAGTTTCTATTTGCAGGCACGAAAATAAGTTTCTCCTAAAAAACTATAAAAATAAGTGACCTCAAATAATAATTACATTAAAAAATATTTAAATAAAACAACCCTTTTTAAAAGATATTCTTAAAAAAAAAGCAGAAGTAATCAATTCTAAAGAATTCTTTTTATAATAGTGTCAGCATATTCCACAAATGTGCGAAAACTTACAGTAGTTATGACAGTCACAAATATGTAATTTAATTTTTTAGTATAAATTGAAGTTTTATTAACTTGATCATTCATTTCTGAATTGTGTTAAATGAAAAAAAAATTTGCTAAGTGATTTTCTACTACTTTATAATTGCTCTGTTCTTTTAAGAACATTGAGCACTCTATCTATCTAACCTATCCGCAAAATATTTTTTTGTTTGATCTTTATAAAGTTGTTGATTTTAAAAGTTTTTGTTTTCATTTGTTTAAGATATATATATATATATATATATATATATATATATATATATATATATATATATATATATATATATATATATATATATATATATATATATATATATATATATATATACACACACACTTACTAAGCGTGTTTTGATAAGCATTTGCTCACTTTTTCTGCTTACCTTAAGCTAAATTGTTTTTTTCGAAAAAGAAGAAGAAAAAATGAAGAATGATGAATGAAACGATTGCTTCCCCATCCCAAACCCTCAGTCGATGTAGCAGCACTCTACTGCGAGTCAGGCTATTTGGTCAGTCGATGTATGTACTGAAGCCCCCAGCAGCAGGCTATTTCAGTATGATGTCAGATTGCTTACAATAGTACATAATACTATATGTATATATATATATATATATAAAGATATAAATAAAAATATAACTGCGTGAGTTTCAAAAAAGTGCATATAATCAACTCAAGTTTGTTGATAATTTTTCACTGTTTTTGTTGTATTAAAAGTATATATATATATATATATATATATATATATATATATATATATATATATATATATATATATTTTAGTTTAATTTTATATTGTTTTCATAAAATTTGATAAAAAAAAAAAGATCTAAGAATAAAATTTCATTAGGTAATTACAGTTTTGTGTTCTCTTTTTTCATTTTTAATCTTTAATTTAGGTTTTAACACAATAGAAGATTCATGCATGAGAAGGTAACTTGATTTTTTTTATTTTAAAAAGAAATTTTTTTGATTATTGTTTTTTATAATGAGTTTATAATTTTTATAGATCACCTCGTCTTCTTGCTATGAACACCAAAATAAATTCAAGTCCTCTTGCATTAGAACATGTTGTTACTAATAGTACTGTAGCAAGCACCAATAATGTTCTAACTAATGGTACACCATATGAGAAACAAGAACTTTCTAAAAATAGTTCTTTTTGTAAAACACCTATAAGTTCAACTACTTGCACAGCTTCTACAAGTTCAACCGATTGCCGAACTTCTATCAATTCAAATATTTGTACAACACCTGTTTGTCCAAAATCTGAAAAAAATAAACTATTATCTGAAAAGCAAAAAATTCCATTAACTCTTTCAAAAAATTCTATTGATTTTAATAAAACAGTAAAATCATCATTTGACATGATTGATATTGATCTAAATGATGGCTTGGATGCTATCATATCAAACCATATTGAATGCTATGAACACAAAACATTGCTAAATAAAAGAAATTCCAACCAATCAGTGAATAAAGATGATTTATTTACTAAGATTAAAACAGACATTTTAAAAAAAAGTACAGAATGTGTCCTTGATAAATCTGAAATAGTTTCAACTCCAAAAAGACAGTTAGTTGATTTTAATGATCTTGATGATTTTGATAGCTTGCTTATGAGTCTTGATGATGAAGTAAGATGCAAAAGTCAAGAAGTAACTCGTTTAACACCAAGTCAGCGTGTTTTAAAAGCTAGAAGCATGACATCACCGTTCCCTCTTAATAATAGCGTATCTAGACATTCAGTTCAGGTACAAGAAAAATTAACTGAAAATCTTAATAAGTCGATTGGTTTGGATGTTTTAAGTCTTAAATCTCCAGTTCATATGACGCCTACAAGTAGTAAAGTGTTACCCAATAAACGCTTCTCTTCAAATAATGTAATTTCAACAGAATGTTGTTTAAAATCAGATCTTAGTTTTGGTGTAAATAAACACCTTAGCAGTTCTAATAAGCAAAACTCTATATTACCGTGCAAACCATTAGAAAACACTACTAACAAATTTTTAAGTAAAGGATCTGTATCTAACAACATTCACAGCATGAAGAATTCATTACCTTTAAATCTTTCCTTAATTGAGAGTTCTGGGAAAGAAAACTATCTGGAAGATGAGCCGATGGATTTGAACCTGGCAGGTAATTTTAACTTGTGCTATTCATTTTTTGTGCTATCTTTAAAAATTTTACATATAAAGTTTTTCAAATGTTGGAGCTGGGCCAAATCTTTTTACCTGGCTCTACATCCTATACTTGCTATATATCAACTTTAATCATACAGAATAGAAATAAAGTGTTTATATTTTGTTACCATAATATTCACTACAAGATATTATACTAAATAAATAATTTGTTGTGAAGAATTTTTTTAATTTAATCTGCAAAATCTGTTATTTAAAGACTCTTACTATACTAAGTCTTTTGCCATCTTTTTCAGTGTGGTGTCATTGATGATGTTTCATGTGTATCTATCTATCTATATCTATCTATCTATATATATATATATATATATATATATATATATATATATATATATATATATATATATATATATATATATATATATATATATATATATATATATATATATATATTAGGGATATGACTTTTTAGAAAAAAATTTCCCTGGCCCAAAAATGGATGAGTTTTTACGCATAAAATGCAAAAATATTAATACTTTCACGATGTTCAAAAAAAATGTCACGCCCCAAAGCACATTAAGATTTTAAAAGGTTTTAAAAAAATTAATGACCAAAATCATTTCTATTTGCAAACATGTTCATTCATATGATTTTTTTAAAAAAACATAATTTATTCTAACAATTAATACATGGCATAGTGTTATATTCAATGCAGGAAAAAACATTTTATACAATTTAATACATACAGTTATTGTTCATTAGACAAAATGAAACGAAGTGGAAGATTGTCTTTATTTCTGCACAATCTATAAAGCTCCTCCATTACTTTAATTGCTCTTTCAGCACATTGATTACTTCTGGGAATGTTGATTGCTGATGGTTCTGGATTCCAATGACTTGTAAATGTAGCAAGAGGTTTCTTTTTGTTTAATAAAACTTCATGAAGGTCTGAATAAGTGTTTTCTTTATAGGTTTGGTCGTCAAACCAAAAGTCTGCCCACTTGTAAGAAATAAAGATACATACAGATTCAAGTTTGTTTCTTATTTTTGGCATAAGAATGTAGGCTAACAATGCTAAAATAGCTCTTGAACTCCACCGAGCATTACTGATATTAGGGATTTTTTGAAATCTTACATTAGGAAATATTTTATTTTGGTCATAGTATTGGTAGGTTCTCGTCAGATGAAACAGAAACTTCATGTCATCTCGCCATCCTCCTGTGTCTTTTATTTCTTCTGTACCATTATAAAAATTTGTCTTCAGTGTTTCATAATGTTCAAACAACTTGTTAGTAAAAAAGTAATTAATGTTTGGTGAGTTCGGATTTTCTCCCAATTTTTCTTCCATTTCTAGTCTAAGTATTCTATCCAAGATATGATGTTGACATGGTACAAATTGAGGTTTTTGTAATCCTTTTTTTTGAAAAATGTCCTGAAGTTTTACAACAACACCATTTTTCTTTCCGGTATTGACATTTGTAGTATCTGTCACAATCATTTTAATTGAATTCCATAGTTTAAATTCATCTATAATATCAGCTATGGCATTAATAATAGTGATAGGTTTTCCATCTATTAACTTCAGTGCGCCCAACTTTATTTCGCTTCTTTCATTTTTAAGAACGACAACCTGATACTCCCATTGGTCTATATGCTTTCCATCGAAGTGTAGACTCCAATTATCATTCTTTAAATCTTGAATTAAAGTTTCTTTAAATTGTTTTGCTTCATTAAAAAGAGCCTTGTATATTCCAGACTGTGATGGCGCTGGAACATGTATGCCTTCTGAGGACAGTATTTTACCTATTTTAGAAGCTTTCTTAGTTGATACCTTAGCACAAACCACTAACTTTGTTGCTATTTTACAACTACTATATTTTTTATGTCTTTTCTTCAAATTATTATATTCTTCATCTGTAATTTCATTATCTATCTCAAATTGTTCATCAGTTTCTTCAAATTCGGAACTAGAGTTGTCTCTTTCTATTTTACTACTTTCAGTAAATAAAGAAAAACTTTTAGATGCTGAAGGTTGGCTGGAAAGTTTTTGCACAATTGATGGATGAATAGTCTTTTTTCCTGCCAGCTTTGAAGTAGCATATCCAATTTCTCTTTTGCTTTGTAACTGAATTTCATAAAATCTTTTATCTTCAAATGATAACCAAATGCCATTTTGATTTGTTATATCAAAAACCTCTTTTTGCAGAAGGTCGGCATTCCCTTTTTTTCTGAGACTTTCATATTTTTCTATAACATCATTAATCTTTCGCTTCACTGACTGCTCTGTCAGACATGGGAAATTTAATTGTTCTTTCTACAAACTTATAACTTCTTCTGAAATAAGATCTATCCTTTGCTTTTTGGCTTTCACATCAGTACTAGACAAATACTTAAACCTGCTAACAATATCACTTTTTAATGGCATTTTGGAATATTCTTGAAAAGATGTTTCTAACATTGGAAACTGTCTACTTTTATGCGAATCTTGAAATTTCACAAGATTTTTTTTATAAGTCTATTTTTTTCAACACTTGATTGGCAGTATTTGTATGCCATTTTAATTAAAAGCAGCACAAAAAAATCTGAAACTAATTAATAAACAATTAGGCACGGCAGTGAAAAACTAGAAATTATAAAGTGGTAATGCATACGTCTGGTATGTATTTAAAATTATATATATAATATATATTAACCGTCTATATATATTTTATTATATATAATATAATAATAAAGTATAATAAAATATATATAGAGGGTTATGACTTCTTTAACTTATGTTTTCTGGCCCATATGTAATATGTATAGTATATTATATTCCTATCTATATTGTATTAAAAAACATTTCAGCCGAGGGGCGTGACATTTTTTTACACTTGAAGGAAAATAAACATTTCTTCATTGTTTTATAGCAAAAACTCATCCAAAATCAAAATATATATATATATATATATATATATATATATATATATATATATATATATATATATATATATATATATATGCATATATATATACATATATGCTCATATATTTATATAGTTTTTCAGAAAAAGAAGAAAAAAATGAAGAAAAGATTGCTGCCCCATTTCAAACCCTCAGTCAATGTACTTTTCGGTAGCAAGCTATAAAATAGTTGATGTATGTACTGAAGCACCTGGCTATTGAAACTATTGTCTTGTTTTTTCCACTATCATCCAGATAGATTTTAACAAAACTTTTTAAATCACTAACACTAATTGGTGTTCCATATATACTTAGATAAAGTATGGTGTCCCACTGATTTACAGTGTTTATTTTTTATTTTATATATAAATGTTTTTTTGGGTAATACAAAAAATTTCAAAGTCTCAACAATCGACATTATTTCCAATATAATTTTTGCTAATTGTGTTTTGAATAGTATAATTTATGTAATTGGATTTTATACAATATTTTCTTGTACCAGGATGAGTTCTCAAACATTTTCTTGACATTTTTGAATACTAAAAATATAAAGATAATTGCTATTATTAATAAAAATTAGTTTATTAATAGCATATTGGTCAAATTTAAATAATAGATATAAATATTAAAAGTTAAAATATCAAAGTATGTTAACAATAGTTATTTTGATTAGGCTACAACAATAAAATGATGTCTCATTTATTTTGTATTATTGTAATGTTACCCAGACAGCTAGTAAAACATTTTTGGGTAAAATTGAATATTCAAAGTTACCCTGATTTTGGTTATTTTTTAGCTTAGTGGAAATATATATTCTTTTTGTAGCAAAAAACATGTAATTTCATATTATTTTTAGTTTATGTTAAAATTTGACAAATAATTCAATACAATACAAAAAATCATACCTGATTTTCACAATATAATACAAGAATTTATTTATCTATGGTAAAACTTCTGTAAAAAAAAGTAATTTATCATATTCTTGTTGGTTGAAGAACAGACAAAGAAATTACCAAAAAAAAAAGAAAAAAATTGAAAACAATTTCAGGATTATTTTAATGTTATCCGCAAATTCAATGTTACCCAGAATGAATGTATAAAAAAATTTATTATTTTACCGTTCCGCACAGCGAGCTATTAACATAATTAGTTAAGTTTTTAATATTGCTTTTTTGATAAAAAATATCAACTAAAATACCTTTCCTTAATCAGTTTACACTTTTAACTAAAAAATAATTACATCATTGTTCTTAGTTTTACAGAATTTTCCTTATCTATACCAAAATTTAATGGAAAAAATGGAATTGCCCTAGTATACACACACACGCACACACACACACACATATATATACACGCGCGCACCTAATATCATTATGCGATTACATTCGTGTACATAAATGATTTTATAATATATATATATATATATATATATATATATATATATATATATATATATATATATATATATATATATATATATATATATATATATATATATATATATATATATTTAAATATATCGTATAATTTTAGGGTCGAATATCTCAGTTCCTTTGATGTCAACACAACGTTGCTCTTATTCTGAAATCGAACGGAAACGACAAGAAGCTCAAATTCGATTAAAGGAAAAGTTAAGAAAACGAAGAAAGTAGTTCATTTTCTATCAATTATCTTGTAAATTTTTCTGTGAAGCCTTTTTTTTGGGACAATTTTTTGTATTACAATTTTCCAAACTTTGTATTTCTTTTTTCCTTTAAATGCTTTAATTTTTATATTAGGTAGATATACGCCCATATAGGTTATATATACGCCTACTTTCTGTTGATAGAAAAGTGATTTACCTGATAATGAAATCTTTGGGTATCATCTTCAGAACCAAATAGAACCTCGTTATTATTTGAATCAAAAAAAATTTTATATTTAACAATTATGATTTCTTCAAGGTTTTTTATATAGTATATTAGCTGATGTCATCAAGCGGTAAACATTAAAGTAATTTTATACCGTAAGCTAACCCTCAGTTAAAAATACCAAAACAAACGAGTTTTACTGCGCAAAAAATTGCTAAAATGATTATTATATATAAAGCATTATAAAATATTCAATTAGGATACTACATAATTATAAGCAATACCAGCTCTAATTTTTCAACAGCATAATTATTAAGAGCCATTTTTTTGTAAGAATCTGTAAATTATTGAAACTATGAAACTCCGAATCACTTAATTTTTAATATATTGATCAGATTATAAAGAGAAAAAATTTATGCAAATGTTTCGTTCACTTGGATTTAAAATTTTGAGATTTTTTAAAAAATTTTAAGAACATTAACTTTTGCCACCTTTGAATCCATTTTTTCGGCAAGGCAAAGAGTTATTCATAACTTTTGTAATGAAATCAAACAGAACCCATAAGCTCTCTGAAAAATTTTAAAAAAAATGCGCTACACTGTGCGGTTGGCTAATTATCGTAGTTCAAAAACATAAACAGTTAGTGGGAGCTATTTCTAACGGCGAAGAATTGTGCACAATTTTTCTTCCAGGACTTTTAAGTATTTCAAGTACCTTAGAAAATAAGTCTAAAGATGCAAGGAAGGTTATGTGATGTGACCTAACAGTAATAATTTAATAATTTTATCACACACATAACATGAATTTAAAATTAAACAAAAGTAAGAAAGTTTTCTTTTTTCTCTTCAGTTTTAAAAAAAAATTAATTAAAATCAAATCAAAGGAGCACAAAAGGTCACTTAGGTAGTTTTGTGAAAAGCTGCCCAAATTAGTTTTAACCGATATCAACAAGTCCTTGTTTCGTTACTAACGGGAGCGGTAAAAAGAGTGAGATAATTTATAAACCGCTTTATTAAAATTTCTAACATTTTTTTTTTATTATTTTTTTTTTTCTCTCTATTTCAGCAAATGGTTGAACAAAAAAAAATTGGAATGGTTTCAATATTTCTCGGATTTAAAAATGACAATTGACCTCAGCATCAGAAAACTGATTAAATCTTATATTGACTCTGGTTTTGGTGCTCCCAAATCAACAATATGCTTAATAAAACTGTTTCCAGAGCAACAGTTTATAGATGAACAGAGGCGGTTTTACAGGGGGGTGTTACAAACCAAACCAAAGAAGGTGATTTTCAAGTTATAGTCGGTTTTTTCACAAATTTAGTCGGCAGTCGGCTATATGTCATTTCAGTCCGTTTTGAGAACCTTTTTTTTTTCAAGAAGCTAGTCGGTACTTTTTTAAGATTCGCCCCCCCCCCCCTCATTTTATTCGTAGAATTACCTCTGTAGATTGGTCGATTGCCTAACTCACTGCGGAATATCAGCCAAAAAATCTTCTGGACGACCGAGAAGCGTGTGTTTGAACAAAAAAAGAAAATCGGCTAGAAAAATTGCAAAAGAAAGTGGATGCTCAGCTAGAACTGTATTGAGAGCAATCAAAGAAGATTTAAGTTTGAAAGCATACAAAAAAATTAGACTTCCTGCCTTGACTGCCGCGCACATTTCAAAAAGAAAGTCATTTTCCAACTATATATATATATATATATATATATATATATATATATATATATATATATATATATATATATATATATATATATATATATATATATATATATATAGGGGAAACTGGGGCAACATGGCGAATGGGGCAAGATGGGTTCATATAACAACTTAACAAAAATTCTTAAAATTGGGTGAAAACAAAACTGTATTTGCATCTTGTATTTTAAAACACCAATTGGTTTTTTGAAATATTACTAACGCAATTTTATACGCATAAGTATACTTTTTGCATACTTAAAAAAGTATATTTAAAAAAAATTCCTCACTTTCGGTTTCTCATAATGGATTGTGCCTTTCAAGTTTAACTTCTTTAGAAGTAGTTTTTTGCAATTTGTGTTTATTTTTTGTTACTTTAGTTAGAGTTATTGGTAGTTTTTAAAATTTTATAAAATCGGAGGTAAAAATTGCATAATAAGTCATCTTGCCCCGGTCACGTGATCAGATGACAAATTGATGAACTTTTTATTTTAATACTTATTTTAAATTGTTATATTTGCAAACTGAAAATTCATGCAGTCAATGAGGGATTTTAATAACATGAACATACTGAGAAAGTATTATTGCTTCACGACTGATAGTTTTGCAATAACTTAGGGCTTTCAAAACGTTCGCCATGTTGCCCGGCTTTCCCCTATATATATATATATATATATATATATATATATATATATATATATATATATATATATATATATATATATATATAGGGGAAATATGTATATATATATATATATATATATATATATATATATATATATATATATATATATATATATATATATATATATATATATATAAATATATATATATATATATATACATATATATATATATATATATATATATATATATATATATATATATATATATATATATATATATATATATATATATATACATATATATATATATATATATATATATATATATATATATATACAAATATATATATATATAAATATATATATATATATATATATATATATATATATATATATATATATATATATATATATATATATATATATATATATATATATATATATATATATATATATATATATATATATATATATATATATATATATATATATATATATATATATATATATATATATATATATACATATATATGTATACGGCGACCATAATTAACGCCACTATTTTTCTATCTACTTGGCTGAATTCATTAATACTGTCTTGAACCATCTTATAGGCTCTTAGTATATCCATTCTACTTGTTTGCAAGATTTGCATTTATTTCTGTGGCTGTCGCTGTTTTTCACTTTTGGGATTGTAAAGACAGTTTCCAATTCTAAGGATTTAGATTGTTGGAAGTTGTTCGAGACTCAGATTTTTTTTTTTTTTTTTTTTTTTTTTTTTTTTTTTTTTTTTTTTTTTTTTTTGTTCTTTTTATTTATTCAAAATAAGTTTTACAATATAAGAATGAATAAAATACGTATAGTCAGAATTACAATTTTGTTAACGTTACAACAAGAACGCGGATACTTGCAGAAGATCATAAGATACTTCCGTATCAAATAGCAAAATATGTTCATCTTCAAGAGTTATTTTAAAACTCTCCCATTTCCTTGCAAAGTCCAATAATTCCGTTTGAAGCTGATCTTTTGTTACACTAGCATCAAATTTTCTGAGCAAACCACTCAGGTGCTGCAATGCGTCATTAGGCCTTTTTTTTCAAAATTTCTTCAAAATTTCTTGGATCAAAATAAGATAAATCAGCAGATAGACTACTATGCTCTAAGAATCTCTGTTTTAAACTACTGATTACTTGATCCATTACCATGTTGTGAACATTGACACGAAATTCATCATTCGCACTTTCAAGAAGTTGATTCGCTCTTATTCTTTTCTCTTTCAAACCAGTCTGAACTTCAATGTCGAGATTTCTTTTTCCCAGTTCACTGTTGGCAAATTCTGAGAAAATTGTAGCTGCTTGAAAAATGGAATCAAAATTTCTATCTACTTGGCTGAATTCATTAATACTGTCTTGAACCATCTTATAGGCTCTTAGTATATCCATTCTACTTGTTTGCAAATATTCAGACAATGACGTTGCGTGCTCAAATACTTTTAAAAACAATTGTACCGTCAAATAAATTTAAAACTTGTCAATGAATCTAAAAGAGCTTTCGCTCTGTAACGGACATCATTGAATTTGATTGATATAAAAGTATCATGAAATGTTTGTAACATTTCAATGTACAAAAATCTATAACTTGTATTTCTTGATTATTTATTTATTTACGTTATTTATTTACAAAATAATGATAAATAGTATTCGAGTTTCAAATACTAAATATTTACATAATTATAAGACAAATTAATTCGGATGAAACCGTAAAAAAGTAAAAAAAATTATTTGATGACTTTACTTTTTTTTTCTTATTTCCTTATTTTCTTTTTCGTTTTTTTTTCTTTCTTTTTTCTTGTGGCGCCCGAAGGCCTCGTGTCTCTCATAGGCTGCAGCCTATGTTAGTTTATCCCTAAATCCCCCATTGAGTTCATATACTTAAAACTTGGCGACAAAATTTCGATGTGCAATCAACAAAATGTATAGTGCAACAAACATAAATAGTAGCATAATTTATAACAACAAAATATTATCAATAATACCAAACTGTGACTGTGAACAATACACAAAAAACAACAATACACAAAAAACAACAATACACAAAAAACAAATTAAAAGCTATATAAAATTATATTATAAAATAAATCGTTTAACATTTGTTAACTAATTTGGTTTGTTTACGTTAATATAATACTACTTTCGGTCGGCTAAAGATGGCTGCCAAAACTTATATAATTAGCCGGTAGATGTATTAGCCTTCAATTAGATGTAATTAGGGGCCAAAAAAAGTTATCATGTTTTTTGTTACATTTTCATTTACCGTTGATTATAATAATCAACGGAATAAAATGTGCCTAACTAAAAATATGATAACTTTTTTGAGGTAACCGGCCAACCGGGAATCTCCCGGTATCCTGGCGGCCCGGGATACCGGGAGATTCCCCAACACCAAAAATCACCAACACCAAAATTAAAAATATTTTAGTATCTACCTGTTATCGACCACCTGAAGGTGATATAAAAAAATTTTCAAACTTATTAAAAGATATCTTTCTTAATATTA